CCTCTCCCACCCCCTGCCCTGTCTCTGCAGCCCACAGGGTCCCACAGCAGCTGTTCCTGGAGCAGAGCCTGTGCTGTTGACCTAACAAGCGTGGGACTCTCTTGGGCGAGTGATTGGATGGACAAACCAATGGACAGCTGTGTGAATGGAAGAGTCAGAAGGCGAGGGCTGAATGGATGGACTGACAGGTGAACGCAAGGATGAATGAACGAATTTGCTGCACCACACAGTGGGGGCCGTGCAGCCTCAAACTGTGGGCCTACTCTTTTGCCCTCATGAGACCCCAGGCCTGACAACCTACCCGTAGGTCCTGCTTCCTCCTCCCTGCCCCACCACCATCCTTAGCCTCACTGGGGCCACGTGCTCCAGTTCTCCCCTGGGGCGCAGGGGCCTCCATGCTGGGCTTTTCTGCTATGTTCTAGCTCAACTTCTGGTGGACAAGGCAGAGCAGAAGAGGGGAACGGTGACGGGCCTTGGTGTCAGACTCCCCTTGAACAGACACTTACTAGCCATGTGATCTGGAGCAATTCACTGAACCTCTCTGAGCCCTAGTGCCTTAATATATTTAATATTAAGCGAAAATAATAAAACCTAGCTCATGGGGGTTAAATGAAATAGTGCTTGAAATGCACATAGCATAGTGCCCGATACTCAGTAGAAATTATCTGAAGAATGAAAGCATAAACAAAATAATATTCGTTGGCTTTCTTTCATTAGCAGGGGCAGATGAAATATTTAAATATGCTTTAGGGACTCTAGCCTCTTCAGTTACACAAACGATTGGATAGATAGCCCAACAGAGGCTCTTGAATAATTTGCACCAGGTACAAAGGTAACTGGACCTAGTCAAGTTGTTTCTCTGTACCTCAGTTTCCCTTCCTGTAAAATGGGCCAAGTTCTCCCTAAGCACTGGCTGGAGGCAGAATGAGTAGAATCAAAAGATCTGATTAGCTCTTGGCATTGACCCACCTAACCCTTTACTCACCAGACTGGAGAAGCAGCAAGAAGGGCCCTGAAAATGGGTTAAAGAAGGAACAGCTCAGAAACCAAACATTACTAAATACTTTTTCCTTTTATGGGCTGGTGCTCTAGATCACCACTTCCTGGAGATTGTATTCTAAACTCTGCCGTGATGGATGCGAGGTCCCCGTGCCCACGAGCTCCAGCGGAACCCATATGTCACCCTGGGGGATGGACTCTGCTTTTACCTTGCTATTTTAAGCAGCGAGTTTATAATAATGGATGGGAGAGAAAGCAAACAGGGCAGGAGCAGCGTGGGAATGGGCCTGGCAGGCGGGCTGCTGGGGCTCCCCCGAGGAGCCCGGGGTTCCATCTGGAAACGGGTCGGACCTCAGCCAGCATCCACTCTGCTTTTACCCTGCAGCAGCTAACATCTGTGTTTGTCTGACCTCATTCATTCGTTCTGTTTTGCTTTCTGACACAGGGACTGACTTAAGTTCTTTCTGGAAGAGAGGGAGGTGGAGGAAAGGAAGTGGAGATTTAGAAAATGGGATATTTTTGATGAGATTTCAGAATACCATGATCCCAGAATCCTGGGACGGGATCATCAGGACTTGTGGTTTGTTGTAACTAAGAAGAGTCCAGAATTTCAGGGACTCCCAGGGTTGGAAAAGACCCCTGAAGTGGTTAGGGATACTGGGACCCTTGCTCCAGCATTTCCTGTAGCTCTCCCAGGAACGGGGAGCTCACTACCTTAAAGAACAGCCTGTTTCATCTTCAGATGATTCCAGCCACTAGATTTTTCCCTTGCCTTCATCTGACCTTTCATTGATCATGCACCCATTCTTTGGACAATAGACCCACAGGAATGCCTTTCACCTATCTGAGAAGAGATTTTTTTTCCCCTTGCACTTTCTCTTCTCCAGGCTAAAGTTCTCAAGTTCTTCAAACACAAATTCTTGTCCTCTTGGCATCCTGCTTCCCCTTTTCTGAACATGTCTCAATTTGCCTGAATCTTTTTTAGCATGAAGACAACACACTTAGTGTAAATTAAGACATAAAGGAAAAATTGAACAGTCACCTCCCATGTTTTGGAAGCCATACTCCTATTCAGACTGCCTGGAGCTGCACATATATCACACGTGATTTTAAGAGGTTTCCTGGGAGAAAAGCCAACTCCCTTGGTAGAATTGGGGCTTGTGGATATTCTTTTGCTACCCTTAACCCCTGTTACCATATGCTTTACCCAGCACCACTGATGTCACTGCTGCTGAAGTCCAAGTAAAGATGATAGAAATTCATCACAGAGCCCACCTTTGGGTGAACTGATGCTCAGTTTGTTCATACAATAAGCATTTGGGAGGGGAGACACAACATGCCCTGGCCCCACAGGTCTCGTTCCCAAGAACCAGGTAAAATCTGTCCAGCCGGCTTCTCCACCTCCATCTCATCTTCCCTGCCAGGCCCGCAGCTATTCTGTTCGGAGAAGTTTCATTTGGCATTTGCGTTCACGGCTAAGCTCTAACACCATTTCTGGTGTGGGATCTTTGCTAAAACTATGTCCTGCCATCCCAATTTCTATAGTTAGGGACCCTTTTCTGGGGTCCTGCAACTTCTCACTTTTAAAATATTTACCCCATTATACTATTTTCCAGCTGCCTCCCACCACTGGACTCTGTGCTCCTTGAGGGCCAAGACCTGTCCTCATCATCTTTGCGTCAACAGCACCTGGCACAGGCCTGGTAGAGTAGGTGTGAAGTGGGTGTCTGTGGTGAAAGAACGAGTGACTCCTTAGGTGATTTACTTGGCATGAGATTTCTCAAGGTGACCAGCAGGGGGCGCCCCAACTGTTTCGAGCTGAGTGGGACTAACTGTTGGCTGCAGAGAATGACTCAAGTCAAGATGGTGGTCACCTGGACCAATCCTGGGACTAAAGGTCTCTGGTTCTTTAAACACAAATCAACAACCATTCTTTGATGAATCTTTTGGGTATCCAGGATGAATCAGACACCTCGCTTGCCTCGGGGAGCTCAGTCCAAAAGTCCAGAGGTGTGTGTGTTGGCTGGTGGGGAGTAGGGGCTGTCAGAGCTGTGGCTGATGCCAGATCGGGGCCTGCCCTGCAGCACTCTGGCTCTCGGGCCTTTCCAGGACCTTTCTGCACGACAGGAAGGACACCTAATATCATGGGAGGTGGCAGGGCTTTCCGGGTTTTCCTCCCACAGCCTCTAGCAGCCAGCAGCACCTCCCACAGGAACACAGTAGGTACTCAATAAGTGTCAGTGTCCTTTGTCCCCCTCCACCCCCAACACCATGTGTCCCAAAGGTCCCCTGCCTATGGCATCTGCATCGTGGTTGTCATTCCTTCAGGGAAACTCTGAAAGTTGCAGAACCAGTCTGGTTCTTGGTTCTACAGATCCCTGAAGGTATCCCCCACCCCACTAGGGGAAAGAGGAAGTTTAGGGGTGGGGAGAGGCCTAGAAGGGCCCTCTGAGCTCCAGCCAAGCTCCTTGGGCTGCAGACCCCTGTCAGGGGGCCTCTGTGAGAACCTGCTCCGTGCTGGGTGTGTTTTGTCCTTGGAGCCTCCTGCGTGGGCGGCATTCTTATCTCTGTTCCTCTGACAAGAACACTGGGGCTCAGAGGTGAAGCCAACTTTCTAAGGCCACATAATCAGTGAGTAGCAGAGTGGAGACTCAAATCCAGGTATCTGATTCCAAAGCCTGTCCTCTTTCTGCCTGCTCTCCTGTCTTTCCAGACGGAGACATGGCATTGCTGGTCTCCTCTTCTAAGATGAAGCAGAGTAACTAGACCCATTGGCTCAGGTCTGTTGGCGGGATTATCGTCCTAGGCCTCTTGACTGATAAGAAAAATGAAAGAGCAGTGAGTATGCTTCCAGTTGCAAGTAACAAAAATCCAATGCAACGTGACTTCAATACCAAGAGACTTAACTGTTCCTATAACTGGCTAGTTCAGAAAGAGTTCAGGCTTCAGGAGCACTTCAATCAGGGCTCCAGTTCCGTTTCTTTGCAGGTCTTTTGGCTCTGCCATCCTCTGTGTGTATCAGTTTTATCCTGTCTGGCTTTCCTCATGGAAGCAAAATGGTGTCCGCAACACCATCTCACTCTGCACACTCCACCACCCCAAACAAGAGAAAGCCTCTGGGTTCCAGGACACTGCCATGTGCCCATTGGCATAGGCTGGGTCTATCGTCTATTCATGAGCCAATCACTGTGGGAGATGGATGAGATTATGCTGATTGGGATCAACCCCAGCCAGGCCTTGAGGCTATACCATGGGGAGGGGGTAGCCTGGCTACTAGGAAGCAGCTCGAGGTTGCTGGGGGTGGGCACAGGGCTCACAGGCTCCACCCTGGCTCAGCCTCCAGATTTTAGCAGGGCTGGCAGGCCCAGTAAGGGCTGTACTCAAGTGAGAGAGGCTGCCCAACAGGCCAGAAGAGCGTGAAGGGAGACAGGAAGGAAGGGGAGGAAGGCAGAAGCAGCATCCCTTACTCCCCACCCACATGGCCAAGGAAGGCTGTGTGGTGTAGTAGAAAGAGCCCTGGCCTCAAAATCCAGAAGATCTGGGTTCAAATGCTTGCTTTTCTGTATGATTTGGGGCAGTGGCTTCCACCCTCTGGAGCAGTTCTCTGATCTATAAAATGAGACCATCAATGCCTACATCAGAGGTCATCATGAGGATGTTGGTGATGCTCCTAGGACAGTGCCCAGCACCCAGTAGGTGCTCAATAAATGGCAAACAAATACCAATCTGATCCCAATGGAGTGTCCTCCATTAGCTACAGCTTTGAATAGTTCGAAGCAGTTTTTTCCCTTCTGGGATAGCTGTGTTTACTGTAAAGACCAAATTAGATGCAAAATCTCTAAAGTCACCTCTGACTTTGTAAACAAAGCCAGAGAGCTGGAGGAAATGCAATTCCAAATGCCCTCTCTTAGCCTGGTTTGACCTCCGGTGTTGATGCAAATTCAAGCAGGCTCTCTCTGTGGCTTGTGGCTCCTGGAAATGGAACCCAGCTTGGGACAGTGATGGGAACGGATTTGACTTGTCCTTTTGGCGTCTCCCCAGCCTGCGGAGCCCAGGCCTCTTGGAGCATCTTGGGGGCTGACGCAGCGGAGGTTCCGGGCACACGTGGCCACTCCCAGCAGGAGGCCGCCATGCCCCACATTCCCGAGGACGAGGAGCCCCCCGGAGAGCCACAGGCAGCCCAGAGCCCTGCCGGCCAAGTAAGTGCCCTGTCCCTGCCCCCGGCTAGCCTGGCTGGGACCCAAGCCAAGCGCCCTGGGCTGAGGCCACAGCTCCCAGGCTGGCCAGAGGTTTGCTGACAGCCCATGCAGGCTGCAGGGGGCACCTGGGGAAGGTGTGTGGCTTCCACACTAAGGAATATGTTACCCCGAGTGCCTTTGAATCAGCCAAGGCCCCGAATATCCTGAGTGTGGAACCATCTAGGCTGCGCTGACTAAGGCCTCATGAGAAGTCACACTGCTAACCCTGCGGGCTCCCTCCGAAACTGGGAAAAGGCTTAACCGAGGGCCCCATCACGGCAGGGTAGTGAACATCAGCAAAACGCCACTTAGAGTGAATCCACCTAAAATGAAAATGAAAATTTCATAGTAAGCAATGAAAAACGTTTTCAGTGAAATCTTATTATAAAAAAGGAAATGATGAAAAAAATTAATGTAAAGTGTATCACTGAGGTTTAATTACACAAATAAAATTATGAAAACAACTTATTTTTAGCCAGATTACAAAATATAGATTATATGCTAATTTTGAGATTGAACAAAGAATGAAGTGTTGATTTTGGTGCTGGTACCTTTTTTTTATACCAACAAAACGATCTATTCACATGACGCCACACGCTTCACATCTTACTTCACGGCACCTTCGTTAAGAGACTCGGTTTGTTTAATATGTAAAAGCTTCATCCGTCTTTCCAAGGATCTCTTTGAATCTTTCAATATTCAAGTCACTTCCTTTTGAAGAACCTAGTTCACCATCGTCCTCATTGCTTTTCCTTTGTTTGTTAACTGATCAGCTCTATCTCATCTCATCGGTCAAAACCTTGCACGTGAAGTTCTCCAATATTTTTTTTTACTTCATGAACTTTGTATACGATTTGCACTGAACTTGGTATATCTGATGGTTGTCCAGAATGACCCGAGCCAGATGGGATAGACGCTTGTTAAGTGAGGGAAGCATGTATGAGTGAGCATTACTTTCATAAATGGGAAGATTCTTAGTGAATATTTTCGTGTTATGATGATTTTTGTTTTCTTACGCATCATAACTATGGGAACTTAAATAGAGTATACTTAGAAAAGAATGACCCCTTGTACTGCTGGGATGTGGCTCCATGTCCCAAGCTTGTGGGATGGAGATGTTGCAGAACTTGGCAGCCTTGGGGGTGGGAGGATGCCCTTCCCTCGGATGTCCCAGTGACATGGGCCAAGCCCCCAGCCCTTCAGCCTCAGCAGCCCAGCTCAGCAGTGTATTGAGCCCCCTCGCCCCCACGGGGACATCCTGGGCCCAGTGGGTACTTCTAAGGCTGCCAAGTTCTGAAAGCTTGGAAATCAAAGGAGGGAGGGACAAGACACTCACAACTACATTCAAATGTGACTGCCCCCAGACCCTCAGGCCATGACGTTCCCGGGTTCTGGCTCTTTAGTATTTGTACTTTCCAGCCCTGGACTCCCCCTGAAATGCCCGTCCCTGACCCTTCCACTTCACAAACAATGCCAGTGTCCTTGAATCAGGATCTGGTGCACAGTCTAGCTCCCAAATCCTGGGAAACTCCACCAAACAGCTGCCCCAAGAATAAAAGTATTCCTTATAAAAAGATAATAAAAGATCAGCAAAGATCCAACTCCACTGTCAGTGAAACCAGGCTTTTATATTGAGTTCAGTTCTTCCTTGCTCCAAACCACTTTAATTAAAAGTTCTTTCAAACCATATCCTCAGGAGATGCAAAACAAGACAACACAAAAACCTGTCACTTAGACCTGCAAGGGAAGGGCATTGTCCCACCCTCCAGGCTGCCAAGTTCATCTCAATCTCCTGTGCTTGGAATAGAGAGATACGAGGGCCTGTTCTTTTCCAAGTATTTACTATATAAGTTCCTGCAGTCATGATGTGTAAGAAAACAAATGTCATCATAATATGAAAATATTCACTAAGAATCTGCCTATTTGTAAAAATAATGCTCCCTCACACATTTCTTCCCTCATGGCTCCTTGTGCTGGGCTCCAGCAAAGCAGAAGCTGCTGGTACCTGCAAACATTCTCTTTATAGTCTTGATTCCCCATGAGCACAGAGAGCATCATGGCACTTGAAGGGCATTTGGAGACCATCAGAGCCCACCTCCTCATTTTATAGCTGTCTGGTTCTGGCTCAGGGTCACAGACTGAACTTGTGGGGAACTGGAATCCGGAGCTCCTGCTGGCCAGCCGGGGCTCTCTTACCCTTGACTTTGTGGCAAGCTCATGGGTCCCTCCCGCTGCGTGGCCACCCCTCGAAACTCACCCTCACACTGACCTAATGGAGCTGTGCCTGTGTGTGGTTTGAAGTCATGATGGTCAGGAGAGACAGGAGGCCTAGGTCCTGTCAGGGAGGACACACAGCGTAGGATTCCAGAGTATGGACTCTAGTCATACCAAGCTGGGCTTGAAGCCCAGCTCCTCGGCATCCTGCTCGAGAGACCTTGAGACCAAGGCTGTTCGCTTTTCTGTGCTGCTGCTTCTCCTGTGTTACCCAGGGCGAGCATTAGTTGCTGCCTCCTAGATCCTGCCAGTTCAGCCCAGCCGTTGGGTGCCTTCCTCAGCCGAGGGACCTCCCCAGACTGAAGGCCACATCATATCCAGCATTATCTTACTCTCTGCCCTTACTGCCAGGCCCCGGGCCTCCCTGAGTTCTCCAGAAGCCAACCAGCCATGGTCAGGAAGGAGCTTCTCTTCCTACTGTGCCACCAGACAACTCACATTGGGCTTCTCAGGTGGCCATGGCCTCAGGGAGGGGCTGGAGGCTCCAGGTCCTTGTGCCTGGGTCGCTGGGAGTGTCAGCGGAAGGAGGAGGGCTCTGCTGGAAGTCCCAATCCTGTTTGAATTCCTACTCTGTGAAGCAAGAACAGGACATCCTTCTGAGGTTACAGTTCCCTGGGGCCCAGCCCTAGTTCTGGTTCCTCGGGTCCCAGCCTTCATTTCCCACCACTGGCATGAGCACTAGCCGCGTCCTTTTCACACAAAACATGAGAGCTGGAGGAGTGGATCCTGTTTTGCTTTCTGTGCGCACGCACACACACACTCACACAAACAGACACGCCCTCAGGTCCCTAATCAGAAGCTGAGATCAAATACCACAAGGACACAAAGCCCCCAGCAATGCGCTCTGTAAGGCTGTGTCCTGAGCAGTGTTTTCTGGGTTGGCCCTTGAATAAGGAGGGATTGAAAGGGAAGCGTTTGTAGCCAAGGGCCTCTGGCAGGAATAGAAGCTGTCAGAAGGCAAGCCTGGGACCATAGGGGACAACAGAATGACAGATTGTCAGAGCTAGAGGGATCCCAGATCACATCTAAGCTCCTCCCGGACAGACAGACTCTCCATAACATAAGCCCCAAACCTTGAAAACTTATTGAACCCCAGATTCCTCAGCCACCTCAAACCTACTGAATCGGAATCTCCTGGGGTGGGAATATTTCCACAGCGGGGAGCTCACCACCTCCCAAGGAGGCCTGCACCATGGTTGGCTGGCTCTGTCCTGGTCAAGCCGGAACCCGCCTCCCCCAAGATGCTCCCTCAGTTCTGCCTCTGCACGGCCTGCAGTTTTGGATCCTCCCAGATTCTCTTTTTCTCCAGTTCCTCAGTCTTTGCTCCCACGACAGTCTTCAGAGCCTCCCTAACCCCTTCTCAGGACACCCACCAGCCCGTCTCCCCCTCGCCCTGGGGCCGCAGACCTGGCAGATGTCGTCTTATTGGGCATCTATGATGTCCCGAGCTGTGATCACAGCCATGGCAGGAAGCCATGGGAACAGGACAGCCTCCTCAGAGGTGCTTTGCAAACCTGAGGTACAAAGAGGCTCACGTTGGCTGTAGGAGCCCAGTTTTCGCTCTAGCTTCCACCCGGAAAACCTTCATCCTCCTTCAGAGAGCTTTAGGATGCCCGGGGCAGGTCAGTGTGAGCTCGTAAGCAGACCTCCCAGCTTCACACCACCTGCCCCAGCATCCCCCTCCCCAGTCCTGACTCCCCCCCGCCATTGCCCTCAGAGCCACTTAAGAATAACAGCTAACCATGTACCAAATACCATTCTAACTCATTTAACTTCTCATTTAATTTCTAACGAACCTGATGCGGGTATTATCATCCCCATTTCATAGCTGAGGAAACTGAGGCACAGAGACGTTAACCACTTTACCCCAAGGTCACGCAGCTCCTAAGTGGCAGGCCCAGGATTCGAGCCCAGGTAGCCTGCCCCGAGAGCCCCACTTAGTCTGTGCTCTGCTCTGAGCACCGCTGACTTTGCCTCTGGGCCCTCTGTGAGAGCTCTGGTGCCTGGGCCAAGGGGACATTGTCCTGTGCTCACAAAGCCACTTGTCTCAGAGGGGCCAACTTGGGCCCCTAGAGAGCTGTCAGGTGAACACCAAAGCACTGCAGCTTGTGGCACTGGGTCTCAGCAACACCCTTCTGCCTGCCATCCCCTGGATGCGGGCCAGCGGGGCCAGCGAACAGAGCTCCGTGTCACACTCCTGCCAAGGTACATGTGCTGCTCTTCCTCATTCTCCTTTAGCCAGGCAATCAAACAGCACAACCTGATGCGCGTTAAGCTTCCCTGCTATCGCCTGGTTTAGGCCACAGACGTGAGGCCCCCCAGGTCTCCCCAAGCATCTACTTTGTGCTTCGTTTGTTGACGCTCTAGGCAGACATGGATGCTTAGCCCTGTTATGCAGAAGCGTCTTGTGGCTTAAGAATATTGCAGCCCTCAGCTAACCAGTGGCATCCCTGCCCCTCCCTTCCTCTAATTTTTAAGTAACTGAGATGAGGTTGGAGTGTGTTCCAGAGAAGCAGCCCTTTGTGCGTGGCCCTGACAGGAAAGGATCTGCTTGCAGAGCACCTAGAACCTCTGGCCATGAAGCCGCTGGGCCTCCTCCTCTTTGGGCTCAGAACCATGACAGTTCCGGGTCCTCTCCCTGCTGTGTTGGTGTAGTGAGAGACCCAGTCAGTGGGCTGGGCTCAGAG